ATATATATATACATATCTATCTATATGTCCTTGTCCCAGTCTTAAAGAATAAGTAGTACATGCCAACCCTCAACATCCATTCAAGCAAATCCCTTTATATAGTCTTAAACCAGTACCTTCATGTTTCTTCTGAAACCCTGCATCATCAATTATTTCCCACCCTTCTTCCATTTTCCACCTCTCCTTTTTCTTAACTAGCTCTTTCTATTCTAACTATAAAAATGCTCAGGTTTCTCTCATTCTGGAGACAAAAAGCAAAAAGCAAAATAATCCACCACAATATTCCCTTGATTCAAAGTCCTACTATAGCTATCTTTCTACTTCTTCTTTTCAGCTAAACTTTTGGAAACATAGCTATACTTATTGTCTTATCTTCACTTCTCATTGACTCCTCAATTTCTACAATCTGGCTCCTACCACACTCCAATGAAACTGTTCACAAAGATAGCTAAAATCTCTGAATTATCAACGCCCCCCCCCCCAATTTTTTGGTCCTTATCTTTCTGGACCTTCCTGGGATAATGGCAATATTATTACTTCATTCCTTGATATCCTGTATTGTTTATTTACTTGGCACTATTGTTTTCCGGATTCTTTTCATATTTTTTACAAATTAAATTTACTCCAGTAACAATGGTTAATAACATTATATTTTAATGCTTCTTGAAAAGGTTCCCTCATAGACTCTCCTTTTTAGCTGAGAATTAAATAAGTATTCCTGAATTCTGTCCTTAGCCCACTGCCTATTTCCCTTTCTCAATCCTTTCCTCTCCTCATCTCCCACTCTCAAATACAAATATATCCCTCATATAAAATAATGGTTCAACCTAATATTTATAGATAAGTAGCTCTCTAGACTGGTGGAATAAGAGAAGAAATAAATAACCAAATTAGAAGGTCAGAAGAGAATCACAAAAAGCTGTAAAATGAAGTTCCTGAAAATACATTAGCTGGAAGTGGTGTGTATTGTCATATAAATGATATTGGTCTAGTAATAAATTATAAATAATACAAATAAATTTCAAATCCAAGTTAACGTGATAGGTAATTAATAAAATGCCATTTGATTATAACAAACTCTAGGATAACATATTTTTCCCGTAAATGTGGCCAACAGTAGGTGAACTAAGTTGAAGAAAAGTTATAAAAGAAATATTATTTATGTTGTCACTCTTCTGGAATAGGAATAACCATTCTATAAGAAAGTTGCCCTAACCGGTTTGGCTCAGTGGATAGAGCGTCAGCCTGCAGACTGAAAGAAAGTTGCTCTCAAACTCAGGTAAAACTCCTGGAAGCCACAGTAGTCCTTTTGGAGACCCCAAAAGAGTAACACAAGTTATCATATAAGGTTGGTACAATTTTATTAGCAGAAAACGACAATATTATAAATATATAGTATGAATGTCACAGGGAGTTTTGTTTGCTTTGGTCATTACTGTTTTCCCAGTACCAAAAGGGTGTCTAGCACATAGTGGATGCTCAATAAGTAATGGTGAAATGAGTAAGTGTATCTACAAAAATATTGATGACAACAATCAAACTAAATATGCTTAAGTATTTCCCAGTTTGTTTTTATTAATACTTATTTGCAACCTGTTCATTCACTTTGTTATCTGCTATAAGAAAAAACAGTTTAAGAAAACTGTATGCAACCAAAATCTTAAAAACAGAAAATTATGCATTAACTTTTATTTCAGTAATGTAGAACCTCAAGTCCAGGTCCAACAGAATCCTGTTGGAAAACCATTACCATAATGTGGGCCTGGAATCATACCACTGGCCAGAGGATAATATTCCCTACTCAATCTAGTCAAGATAGTGGGGTTTTTTACCTTGAAATAAATGGTTGATGTAAAGAAGAGCTGTGCCAGACGGTCAAAAATAAATGGTTTCACCTCTAGGAATTAAAAAAAAAGTATTCAGAATCATTTTCATTAATATTACATTGAATTATATATTATTCCAAGTTTTCATAATACATACCAGAGAAGCTGCTAAAAGGAAACCAGCTCACAAGTTGAAGGAACTGTGATCGACAACAGAAGCCATCCCAGAGAGGAAGGCTCTTATACAGGAATGCTTCACAGGAATCAAATCCCTCCTGTAACACAAGTTGATAATAACTCTTATGGAACTCTTTTATGGAACTCTTCAGTCTTAAGTGCTCTCTAAGCAACCAGTTTATTCTGTGATATATTTATTTTATCCTTAGATTAATTTTGTCATCAATATAATTAAAAGCCAAACTTCCCCATAAAAAGGATCAGATGATGAATATTTGGATATACTGCCATCTTTATCAACATAGTTTCAAATACCATAAACTTCATCAATTGGAAAGAAGGTAAAAAGTTACAGAATATCTTAAAAAATAAAATTGTATTATTTTGAAGTGCACGCAGCCACTTAAGCAGTCAACCAAATGTATACAAGGCTGGAATTTCATTGGAGATCACAGAGCAAATCCAAACTCTAGGCAGCTCCATCTAGGCTGTTTACGTTTCCACCAAGATGAGTAGCCAAGGCTTTCCTTTTTCCCTTTGTCACCTTGAGCCTTAAATAGTGGTATACACCAGCCCCGCCGGTGTGGCTCAGTGGCTGAGCATCAAACCATGAACCAGGAGGTCACGGTTCAATTCCCAGTCAGGGCACATGACCAGGTTTGGGGCTCAATCCTCAATAGGTGGTGTGCAGGAGGCAGCCAATCAATGATTCTCTCTCATTGATGTTTCTATCTCTCCCTTCCTCTCTCTAGTCAATAAAAACATATTTTAAAAAATAGCAGTGTGCACCAGAACTCCATTCTTGACCTTCTTTTGATAACATGAATTCTCTGGACAACCTTATCCATAACATAGCTAAAACCACCACCTATGCCATGAGGAGTCCTAATCTGTACCTCTATCCCAAGTCTCATTCCTGAGCTCTAGAATTCTTATCTAACTGCCTACTATTTATGACCTCTTACATGTCCCACAGGCATCTTTTAAATCAAATTTATCTTTCCTTAAAAGCCTGCTCCTCCTATATTCCCTTTCTCCCTGAATGCCATCATCATCCTTTCAAGCAGGAAACCTAAAGTCAACCTAAATTTATCCCTTTATCTTCACCAGTATCCAAACCCAATTTCCAATTCCATTGTTTCACGCCAAATCCTTAAGATGTATTCAACGTTTATTGAGCATCTCTTTTGTATCAGGTACCAACTTGAACACCTGTACATGAAAAAAATTTAGACATGGTTCCAACTCACCGGGTGCTCATAATGTGTAGAAAAATAGATGCTGAAAGTGCCATGATACAAGTAAACACAAGAGAGCTAAGGGAGCACATAGAGCAAACATTTAAACCAGTGTTAAGTAAAGGTTTCCCAATGACACCTGAGTTGCAGCTTAAAGTACAATTCAGGGCTATCCAGGCCAAAGAATTGGTGGAATATATTCGACATTTTAAAAACGTCTGCTGATTATAAGAATACAAGTAATGACCCTAAGAGATTTATCTTACCAGCAAATTCAATTAATTGAACACATCCAATTACATCTTCAGTTTGTTCTCTTATTTGCATAATTTAACAAATAATTTTCTTCAAATCCAACAGTACAAAGACAAACGTCAATCAACTCGGCCCCATTTATAATGAGTCCTGAATTGAGCAAATATTGTTTGCAAAAGATGTTGAGCACTAAGAAAAGGTGTTCAATAGATAACCAAATACATTTTAGTAAGAAGCGGTGGAGTGTATACAAGTGGAATCTTACTTGTAAGAAGCACTCTGCCTTGATGATAGTGTCCAGGAAGTTGGTAAATTCTTTTTCACATTCATAATTATTCACCTGGTACCAAATACATTCTGCAGCAGAAATATTAAACATAAGCATCAGGCTGCACAGCAATAAAAACTACATAAAACATAATTACCATAACTCTAAAATAACAAATAAATGACAAATATACACAAGCAATCAGTCTCATACCCCTCTACATAACTGTAGATTGTAACAGTTATGTAGAGGTAATAGTGAGATGTTCTTTACTAATACAAGGGGAAAACCTATAGTGAAAAAATTCACATATATGAATGTGATTAGCTTTTATGTCACATAATGATCTAAGATACTCTCATTTTTCTATTGTTTGAATTTTAAAGCCATGACTGGTTACTAATTATTTAAACCCTTTCAAAATTTAAAAATTCTTTTTGTTCTGCTTTTACTTTATTAGTATTTATTTCATGCTGAATTTACTCCAGGGCCATAAGTTTTTGTTTCTTCAGTTTCGTCTGGGGTATCTTTTCCTTCTGTGCAACCTCTTCTTCTCGTTTAGGAACAACCTGCTCTTCTTCAGTAAGGAGCATCTCCATGTGGCAGGGAGAGCTCATGTATGAGTTAATCCGCCCATGAGCTCTGTAAGTTCTGTGTTGCATCTTTGGAGCTTTGTTCAGCTGGATGCGCTTAATAACTAGAGAATCTACATCTAAACCTTTAAGTTTAGCATTACTCCGGCAGTGCGGAGCGAAGGAAGGCCCTGGTCAGCAGCTGGCAGCCAGGGAAGGAAGGCCCCAGCCAGCAGCCAGAAGGCCCCAATAGGCCCTGATGGCTGACCAGGCCTAGGGACCCTACCTGTGCATGAATTTCGTGCACCGGGCCTCTAGAGTGTGAGTGTGTGTGTGTGTGTGTGTGTGTGTATGTATGTATACACATACATATACATATATCATACACATACATATATATATTTCAGAAAAGTATGACTAAACATTTACAAAAAACAATTCAGTCTCATGCCACACTATTAAAACTCCATATGCAAATATTTTTATACAGATACATCTCTTGTTAAGGGTTGTAAGATAACTCACAGAGAACTGTCCGTCACAGTTTTCAGGTGGATGTCCATAGAAAGCCACAACAGCCAATTCTGCAGTAGCTCTTTCAGGTTCTCAAGAACACTACACTGAGGGAGCAAAATAAAAAATCATTTGTAAAAACATTCAGACATACCATAGTGTTAAAAACTAACCATCTAAACCACAGACTTAGAAGTGGAAGGGACCATGAAGATGACTGCATCCATTCAGAATCCAATAGTTGCCACTCCAACCTGATCAGTCTCCAGGAGACAGATGAGTGCAAGTACAAGGTTATTTTGCCATTTTCTCTACTGGACTGATCCCAGCTTGTCAGCCCAGGAACAAACCCTTGTTTCTCTAAATTACATTCATTTACAACATATATTATATCATCAAATACAACATCACCCACCACTATGGTCTCACTTCAGATCCTTTGAGGTTGCTATAGTTTCCCACCCTTTTCACCTTCTGTCTAGACCCGTGGTCGGCAAACCGTGGCTCACGAGCCACATGCGGCTCTTTGGCCCCTTGAGTGTGGCTCTTCCACAAAATACCACGTGCGGGCGCACATGTACAGTGCGACTGAAACTTCGTGGCCCATGCGCAGAAATTGGTATTTTGTGGAAGAGCGGTATTTTGTGGAAGAGCCACACTCAAGGGGCCAAAGAGCCGCATGTGGCTCGCGAGCTGCGGTTTGCCAAGCCGCAGTTTGCCGACCACTGCTTTAGCCTAAAATCTAACATTTATATTTGTCTTTTTTTTTTCTTTTTAAAATCTAGCATTTATAGACAAGACACGTCAGAGAAGTTATATGGAACAGGGGGCAAAAAAAGAGTATGGTTTAAACAGAAAAGATACTACTCCCAGCATCAAAGTCAGAATTTTTTAAATATCATTTATAAAATGTGTTGCATAATTCAGGTCACTACCTACAGTGTTATTCTGAAGAACAATCTCAGATAACGTAGGTTAAGCCAGTGTGTAAGTTCTACAATACTGTTTGGAAAATATTAATGTCGTCATCATCATCATCATCATCTGAACACAGTTC